GCGAGAGGATAATAAAATGCGTTGTTAGGTTCATGCATTGCAGACCAGCATAATACCTCGTCAAACAAATAGTTGTTTGGTGATCTTCCCCCATTCTCCATTCACGATGGTGTGCGTTCCAACTTTACTAGTGCATGTTGCGTTAGTCACGTATGTGTATCACTGCCCAATAGTCTATACATTTTCTAATATTTGAAACAGTGTGATACAATTATTTGCTATGTATTTTTTACCAATATAAAGCATAGTGTGTTATACTGTAAGTGAGTATATTGTGTTGCTATATTGTGATTAAGATATATAATATATATATATACTTAACATTAACGTGCGTTGTGGATCTGCTGTACTGCCACGATGACTAGTCTATAGCTGGAACGCACACAACGCACGTCAAGCACGTAGGCAACACACACACACACACACACACACACACACACCACACAGACACACACACACCACACACACCACACACACACGGCCCCCACGCGCGGCGCACCACAACACACACCCACACACACACAACACACCACAACACACACACACGCAAGGCACGCAGGCACACACACACACACACCACACGCGCACACAATACCACACACACACACGAAACACCACACACACACACGCGACACACACATACACACACACACACACACACATCAACACACACACACAACACACACAGCACGGCACAACACGCACACACACACACAGGCACTAACACACACACACACGCACACACAGCCACACACATACACACACACACACACACACACACACACACACACTACACATACACCTATTTATCTATTCGTGAGGTATGTATGTATGTGTGCTAAACGTACGGAGGGGCCGGATGGACCCTGGGGTCCTGGCTGTCCATCATGGCCGGCGAGTCCACGTGATCCGGGGTTGCCCTGCGATGATAATAGAACAGCGGTGACAATAGAACAGCAGGGGCGAAAGCCGCGCATGCGTCGGTGATCCCGCACAACGAAATTCGACGTGAAATTACTGCCGGTTATACGTAACAAGTGGATGCGTATAACCACGTGAGTACACTTGTATACGTATAAGTAGGGCCTATCACGTACGTTAGTACGTGACATGTTCACTGTGGGTTATACTGGTATGAATACGAATAAAATTTACTGTGGGTTATACTGGTGTGAATATGTGTGATATAAGTATATATGTGCTATAACCTGGGTGGGTAACAATTTCATTTCAATGTGTACGACTATCATACATAATTATATACAACCATCTACTACTTATATCTATACGATAATAGGCCATATACTAATGAAGTCAAGAGACATGATTGGCTTACGGGCGGTCCTCGCTGACCTGTGGTGCCATCGTTACCATTAGATCCGGGGTGGCCGGCAGATCCCGGAAGTCCGGGTAGACCGACTAGACCTCTGTGACCTTTTATACCCTGTCACAGCGAAAGCAGCGCAAAGCTAAAATCAAGGTGGAGTTCTCTCACGAAAACTATTAGCGGCAGTGAAATTACAACAAGCGAAAGAGCTCGAAACGCAATTTCCCAACAGCCAAGTAACAACTAAGAAACATTCAAGCCAATCGTTGTATACTAGACGAAGGACTAGAGACAATAAAATTGATAATTCCGCTGCTTAGTTATACAGTAGTGGAACTTGAATGTGATCATCGTTATGATAATAGATCTAAGATTCATTAGCATCAGCTGTAGTTTATATAATGGCAAATTATCTGACAGGAATGGAAAGCAAGATGTATCAAATCCGTAACCTATCCAGTGACACTTGAAGAGCAAAATAATTCAATCAATAAACCCGCACTGCTGAAGAAATTAGGCATAGTAAAAACTGATACAAAACACATGCATAAACATGAGGTGAAGAACTAATTAACAAACATTGCTATATGAATGAGCTGATAATCATTTACTCATGAACTAATATAAACATCTAAGCTGTGATGTGTAAAACGGATAATTTCCTACCATCGGTCCGTGATTCCCGCCGGAGCCCTTCTGTCCCTGCAGTCCCGGTGCCCCACTCGGGCCCCGCGGTCCGGTGGGTCCCTGCACTCCGAAGGGTCCTGTTTCTCCCCGCTCTCCCCGAATGCCTGGCTGTCCGGCAGAACCCTGAGGGCCCGTTGTTCCCTAAAATACGAGCAGCAAAGTAGTTAGTGTCCCTGCGACTGATTGAGCTTTTACGCCTTTTACTTTTAATACTTTTTTATTCCTCCACATTCGTGCCTTTTCAACGGGTAAAACATTTGTTAGAGTGTAGCGCTCCTGCTTCCGTATAGACTCTTATTAAAGTGATCCATGTGCCAAACCTTTAATAGCATCGAACTCCAGAAATCATAACAGCATACATTTTTAGCGACTTCCAAAAGCAAAGACGTAACTAACCGTTACGTCACACACCATGCGTCCATTATCCGTCATATATTCGGCGGTTCCTTTTATGACGTCATTATCAGCGAATACTGCTTTTAGGCGCGCATTTTCGACCAATCAGAAACCGGGGAATACGCACCATGAGCCCGGCGAGCCCGGGCGCTCCTGCAACACCGGGACTTCCGGATGGTCCCTTGTCTCCTGGTCTGCCGGCGATGCCTGGAAAGCCATCTTTACCGGGAGCTCCCTGCAAAACGCGGTGCGATTATCAGAGGCTGGTTAGTTTATAGAGGGTTGTCGTTAGTTAGGAGGCTGCGTCTCCGTAAATATTTAGATACGTAGCCATCGTGTGTAAACCTGTATTAAATATATATATATATATATATATATGATAAGAAACAAATTTATAATAATTTATTTATTTGTTTACAATATATACTACGCTGCGTGATGCAATATTGAATTGCCTAATTATTTTTGTCTTTTTCTGTTGCGCGTGCGTGCGTGCGTGCGTGCGTGCGTGCGTGCGTGTGTGTGTGCGTGCATGAAGGGCGCACCTCTTTGCCGGAATCTCCCGGTGCGCCATGCTGTCCTGCCGGTCCTGGAGGTCCCTGCATTCCTCTCTCACCGTCGTTTCCATTTCTGCCCCGCTCTCCCTGCGAGCCCTATACAAACATAACAACGAGCATTACTCCCCGATCCCACCACCCACGTACCCCTGTACCGCAATGAGAGAGTACAGAGCGCGCAGTTCCGCCCCATAAGATCGATATAAGATCGATATCATTCGTGACTAAATATTTTTTTCTCCAAATTGCACCCGATCGTACGTACCGTCGTGCGTCGAATAGAGTTTAACCCTTGAACGAAGTCCTACTTTCAACATGATTTCAACGCGTGAACACGCGTCGCTAGCAACAGCATATTATACGCATGCGCCCATTCACCGACGTTCACCGGGAAATTTCGTCTACGAAAGTCATGCACGAATTACCACGAGGCGGGCGCTTCGGTGCGCAACACAGGTGTTGTTTTTAGCGGCTCTCGGATCGTTTGACACGCGCAAGGGCAGCCGAGCTGCTCAATAAACCCGCAGGTATTTGCAAGCTGGAGTAGTCCAGGCAGATATAACGCAGCAAAACTCGGCTTATGTTCCTGCGGAAGGTCGCAGGGTTAGGACCCAATATGACTCCATCTACAGTTAATAAAATAAGAGCTCTATGGGGTGTATAACAGGTTGATAAAGGGGAGGTTACATTAGTAGTAGGAGGTGGGAGATCGAGGGCGATATAGGTAGATACGCGGAGGGAAAAACGGGAGGAGGAGGAAAGATAAACGGGAGGATAAAGAGGGATAAACCGGAGGAGAAGGAGGAGGAGGGGTAAACGGGAGGAGGAGGAGGGGTAAACGGGCAGCGGAGGAGAGATAAACGGGGAGCGGAGGAGGGATAAATGGGAAGTGGAGGAGGGATAAACGGGATAAGGAGGAGGGATAAACGAGCAGCGGAGAAGGGATAAATGGGAAGCGGAGGAGGGATAAACGAAATAAGGAGGAGGAGGAGGAGGGATAGACGGGAGGAGGAGGAGGTGGGATAAACGGGATAAGGAGGAGGGGGCGAAGGAGGGATAGACGGGAGGAGGAGGAATGGTAAACGGGATAAGGAGGAGGAGGGATAAACGGGAGAATGAGGAGGAGGAGGAAGAGAGGTAAACGGGATAAAGAGGAGGAGGGATAAACGAGAGAATGAGGAGGAGGAGGAGGAGGAGGAGGGATAGACGGGAGAATGAGGAAAGGAAGAGAGGTAAACGGGATAAAGAGGAGGAGGGATAAACGAGAGAATGAGGAGGAGGAGGAGGAGGAGGAGGGATAGACGGGAGAATGAGGAGTAGGAGGGATAGACGGTAGAATAAGGAGAAGGAGGGATAGACGGGAAAATGAGGAGGATGAGGGAGGGAGATCATACCGGTGCGCCTATGACGCCTGGCATCCCTCGATCTCCGGGAGACCCGGGCATTCCGGGAAGACCTTGATCTCCTTGTTGGCCTGGTGAACCGCTCGGTCCGGGGTCGCCCTGAAAGACACCAGCAATAAATGTGATGCTGTCACATCAAGTAAAAAATCATCACATATACCTGTAGATGGCGAATTGCATTTTCTGCGAATGCAAGTTTCGTAGACTGAATAAATAAGCGAGGGACCATTTTCACGAATTAATTAATTATTAACCCATTATTCAATTCATTTAAACCGATTAATTACATCGAATTAAATCAATCAATTATTGAACCAACCAATCTATCTAGTTATCCATCGATCGATCGATTAATCAATTGATCAATCAATCAGCATATCGCTACTTGACGGTGTAGTGTGAAAAACTCACAGCTTCTCCATCCGAACCGGAGTCTCCCTTCTCTCCCGATTGTCCCCTTTCTCCTGGTGATCCTGATCCTCCTGGTCTTCCCGATGTGCCTGGCTCGCCTCTCTCTCCCTGCCAGACACGTCTCGCATATTACGGTATACAGTACAGATGTGTATATGTATATATATATATGTATAGCGTGCAATCTCATGTGAGCACATCTATTATGTGAAATCCGATTCTGATCTTTCAATTGCGTTTTCTGATTGATTCTGTTACTATACGCAAGTTAAAGCGATTTCTGAAAGATCGCAACCCGATTTCGCACGCACGTGTCCACTCACACACTCACATACACGCACGCACACGCACACACATACACACCGACACACAATCACACACTCATATACACGCACGCACACGCACGCACACACACACACTCACGCACGCACACCCACACTCACGCACACCCACGCACGCTCACACCACGTGTGTGTGTGTGTGTGTGCGTGTGTGCGTGCGTGCGTGCGTGTGTGTGCGTGTGTTTATGTATGGACTAGCGTATAGCGGTGTTACCTGTATGCCAGGTGCCCCCGACGGACCTGCCGGACCGGACGGTCCCGGTGCACCCGATAATCCCGACACGCCAAGCAGTCCTCCTGGACCAGGCGTTCCGGGAAGACCCTGCAGAAATATTCAACATACACACGTCTCTAGAACAACACTGTCAACAAACGCGCAGGGGTGAATATCTTAAGATGGTTGTATAGTGGGTAGGGGAGACGAGTGTGTGGATGGGGTGAAGGAACAGAGCGTGTATATGTGTACACTTGTATATGTAGTAGAAGTGATTGAGTTGAATCAGGTGATGCTGGTATTGAATGGAAATGAAGAGTGGATGGTTTGTAATGAGTACGTTTGCAAATGTAATTCACCACGTTTTTATTATGGTATAATAATAATATAATAGTATATCATATATTTATATATATATATAATATTATTTGTATATATCAGTTATAGGCCCTTACCACCATAAAATATCGAAACCTATTTAATACTATTATATATATATATATTTATTTATATAATATATATATATATTATATATTATTATTGTACAGCCTTTTATGGTTTTAGTTTGATGATACTTCGTGAAAATGGACAATTTGAATAAAAAAGGCATTGACGGATGGTGTTTCGATTTATCATCGTTGCCGTACCTGGAATCACGGAGATCGCGCGCATCATTCTGCGCGCGAAAGACTGCGCCTAGCTGTGACTGGTTGCGGCGTCTCCCGATGGTCCTGGCTCTCGGGATTTCGGAGTTCTTCCTTTTGGACCTGGAGCTTTCGCTGCTTCTCCTCCTTGGTTCGGGAGAGTCCTCCTGGTCCCTACACGCAGAGAGATAAACGTGAATAATGGGAGATGGGGGGCGTTAGCGCTGGAGTGTTTCTCGCTTCATTCCCAATATTTTATTTAATAATTATTGCATCTTTCCTCGTTTTATTCTGTCTTCCACTGGCTTGCTCGTCTTTTCCCCCTCTTTCCTTTTCTCACCTCGCGCGCTCTTCTCTCTCTCTCGCGCTCTCTCTGCTCTCTTTTCTATTTTTTTCTGTCTCCTCCTTTTTGTCCTTGCTCTTTTCCCTTCCCCCTTCTTCTCTTTCTGTCTCTCCATCCTTTCTATTTTTTATCTCTCCCACGCCTGTTTCACTCTTTCTCTCTCTGTCTCAAAATTCCTCGCTATCTCCTTTCCTCTCGTTATTCTCTTCTCTCTCTTCTCTCTCTCTTTCTCTCTTCTCCATCTCTTCTCTCGCTACTTCTTCTCTCTCTCTCTGCTCGCGTTCTTCTCTCTCTCTTCCTCTCGTTTCTGCTCTCTTCTCTCATGTCTCTTTCTCTCTCTCGTACTCTCTCTCTTTCTCTCTCTCTTCGTTCTCTCTCTCTCTCTCTCTTGTTTTCTCTCTCTCTCTCTCTCTCTCTCTCTCTCTCTCTTTCTTCTCTCTCTCTCGCTCGCTCTCTTTCTCTCGTTCTCCCTCTCTCTCTCTCGCTCTCGCTCGCGTGCGTGCGTACCAGCGGACCGGGGAATCCCTGTTGTCCGGGCGTGCCCGGGGGTCCTCTCTCTCTCCGGACATCCTCGCTCGGCTTCTCCGGGCTGGTCCGCGGACCCAGCATCGCCGCTTGGCGGGTGCGGCAGCATCCTGTAGTCCCGTGATTCCTGGGCATGCCTGAGCCTGTCACCGGGCGCACCTTCCGCTCCGTCCTTGCCCTCAGGTCCCGCGTGCTCCCTAGTGTTCAACGGTCGCGAGTGTCCAACGTCAAAGTCATTGCGGCGCGACGATTTATTATCGATGGTCCGTCGGGAAGGAACGGGAAGGAGAGCGGGATTCTATCCTTGCTTAATGGCGAACGTCGTGCTATTCACGCGACATTCCAGTTAGACATTTGAGTAAATGATACACTAATACAATGCAGGGGAGGAATTATATATATATATATATATACATTATATTATAATATTTTATATATAATATATATATATATATTCATTACATGTATATATGATTATTATATATATATATATTATATATATTATATATATATATATATATACGGAGTGTTTACCCGTTCGCCTTTTCCCCCGGTGGTACCGGGAGCGCCTCGCTGTCCCGGTATGCCTGGGAGTCCGCTTGATCCGGGAACACCCTTGGGTCCCAGAGGTCCGGCTTCTCCCGTGTCGCCATCACTTCCCGGGGGTCCCGAATCTCCTTGAAGTCCCTGGTCGCCCTGTCTTCCCTGCTGACCTCGATCGCCGGGCGATCCCTGACTTCCCTGCATAGCGTGAGTGATAGCGCGTGTGACATAATGCATCAGTACAGCGTGTGAGTGTGCTGTCTACAGATGGGGATGCCATCATAGCCATGGGATCGCCATCATAGCCATGGGATCGCCATTACTAGCGATGTAAGCTCTCGATTTACATATTTTACGAGTGTTAATTGATTAATAATTTTATTTATTTCATTAATTCCATTTATTCCAGTTAATTCATGTATATATATATATCATATCATCATTCATATATTCATTGTCATATCATCATATTAGAAGTTTGGTATCTAATGTTGATAAAAAAAAAATTGAAAAAGAAACACAGCGCGGGTGCAATCTCAGCTACAATAAGTTGCTTTTATAAAATTTCTAAATTATAATTATTTATTATTAAATTTATATATTATTTAACAGGTCGGGTCTTCTCATACGCTAACATGCACATCGACCGATAGTAATAACGCGTACCCTGGGTCCAGCCTTTCCCTCTGGACCTTGTGGCCCGATGGTTCCTTGCTCTCCGTCCTTGCCTGAGGGTCCGGGAGCGCCCACGATACCCGGAAGACCCTGGAAACCTCGCGGGCCTGGTCCGCCGCCCTCTCCTCTCTCTCCAGACGCCCCCTAGCGGAATATAATCTCGTCAATTAGTCGTTATCACCGCGAACACCTACATGCGCTGTTCTGGCAACGGGTTTCTTCTCAATAAATGATACCTTTTTACGGCAGTTGTAACTATCATTAAAGCAACTCTCAATATTTATTTCAATTAAAATTAACTACAAGGAAGTGCTTGTAAAGATGGCTGCCGTATGATGAGTAGTGGTTATATACTCACGGAAGGGCCAGGAGATCCGGCTAGACCAGGGTTGCCGTCTGCGCCATGATCACCCTAAAATACAGGGGAAGAATTACCCACATATAATGCTGAAAAACACAGAAATATCATCAGAACATTATGCTAGGAACCAATATAGCTGCTTGTCCTGCTGTTTGCAGTGGTAGTCGTAGTAGTAGTAGTAGCATCAGCAGCAGCAGCACTAGCAGTAGTGTATGATTATCAGTGCTTAAAAAATGTAAGCCAACCTATCTTTCTCTCTCCCTCTCTCTCTCTCTCTCTCTCTCTCTCTCTCTCTCTCTCTCTCTCTCTCTCTCTCTCTCTCTATCTCTCTC